TTCGGATCCCACATACAGACCGGTTCCTGCTCACTGGCTGAGCGAGGTGCGGGCACAGCGCCAAGGGTTGCGATCCGTTGCCGGACATGAAAAAAGACAAAAAAAGAAAAAGTACTCTGAAAGAAATGGACATGAGACTGCAAAATAATGAAAAACAAATTAAATACTAATACAATACAAATAACTATAATTCATTATTATTCTCAGGTAAAAACTCTTTGGGTAAAGACATCCTTCCCATGAAACCTCTTTGTACATCAATAAAACTGATTTCAAGATGTCATTCGGAGTATAAGTTTGATATATATTTAATCAACATATCTAGACAATTTATGCCAGCCAATTTATGACAATTACATATGATAAATGTTTCCCCAAAACAGGAAAACAGGGACTTGCACAGATTTTTGTACACCAAAGTTCATAACAGCATTATTCACGAGAGCCAAAAGGGGGATGGAGGAATGGACAAGCAAAATGTGGTAAATACACACGACGAAATTTTTCTTCCACAGCTTGGTCATTTACTTATTTAATTTACTTTTACTATCTATTTTTTAGTTTATTTTTCAATTGAAACATGTTGATTGTACATATTTATGAGGTGGAGTTATATTTCTTTTTTGTTTGTTGTTTTGTTTTGGGGGCTGGCTGGTAAGGTGATCTGAACCTTGACCTTGGTGTTACCAGCACCACGCTCTCCCAAGTGAGTAACCGGCCAGCCCCACAGTTATATCTCGATATGTGTATACAATGTAACGATCAAATCAGGGTGGCTAGCAAATTCATCATCACAAAAATATCTCGTTTCTTTGTGATGAGAACATGTAAGCTCCTCTCTTCTAGCCATTTGAATACAATAAATTGTTGTTAACTGTAGATGCCTAGCACTAGTGCACACCACCCGAACTTAATTTTCCTATCTAGCTGTAATCTTAAGTCGATTCACCAGACTCTCACTATTCCCTCTCCTTCCCATACGATGAAATATTATTCAGCCTTAAAATGAAATTCTAATACATGCTACAATTTGGATAATCCTTGAAATTACACTAAGTAAAATAAAATACAAAAGGACAGATATTCTGACTCCATCTATATGAGGTACCTAGAAAAGGTAAATTCGTAGAAAGTAAAATAGAGGTTACCAGGGAGGGTCTGCCCAACACAGGGAGTTATCGGGCAGAGTTTCGGTCTCACCAACCCGAGATGAAAAGGTTCTGGAGGTGCGCAGCGGTGACGGCTGCACAATCATGTGACCGTCGTGCTTAATGCCAATGAATTGTGCACTTAAAAGGTTACGCAGCTTATCACAATAAGAACGAACAAATTTTTTTAAAAGATGATACTAAACCTTTTAAGAGTCACAACACTACGGTTATTCGATGGATAATTTGCTGTTATAACAACTTCATCTTTGAGAGATCTTTGGTACCAAACTTGAATGTGAAAAAGGAAAAACTGTCCTTCATATCTTGTTACTTCGGAGTTGTAGAGAATGAACATACTCCATTCTCCAGCTCTCATCTTCAAGTCTATTATCATTTCCCTATAACATTTCTCTGAGATTCCAAAGTCCCAAATATCATCCTCATATTATAGAAATTCTGCTTGTCATAAGAGTCTACAGACCTTCACAGAAACTTTAGGGAACAAACACTCCGATGTCTAGACAGCAGGTACAGACTTCACTGGATGTGAACCGTTTTTTATTTTTCTTCTTCGTGAAACAAAACGAGCTTCTGATCTGACCCCAAGCGGAGAACAGCCCCCCAGAACTGTGAGGAACGCAGGCGAGGCACCAGAACTCGTGGACACGCTGCCCACGAAGGCGGCCTCCCCACAGGTCCCCCACAAGTGCTGGGGTTGACCTTGTGCGGCGTAAGACC